CATTCAGAATGCCCAGTATTATAATTGTGAACTTGCACATTCTTGTTAAATAGTTGAGAGAGATATCTAGGTATTGCGTGATGATACCCTGGTTCGCAGCAACATTTCATTATAGAAAGAGATGGATGTTGACTATACGTATATTATGGTTGCAGACTTCCTGTCTATTGTGCCCCGTATTACGGTGAATTGTATAACTAAATCGTTTCCAGCTTTTCATCTATATGCTTTTGTTGATGATGTAATATATAATTAAATTGGAAGACATCCAGACAGTTTAGTAAATCAGCGACGAAAGGTGAATGCCTTTTTTAGAATAACACAAACATGTTCCTGTATATTCACCACCACCACATCTCACTCGCTCGGTGTGAGTGAGTGAGAGTTACAGAAGATGGACACAGTTTAAAAGTGGTAAAACCTTAAAATCGGCTACAAGAAAAAAATGGTCACAGCTTTAAATAGACTATAACAAGAATATGGTCAGACTAAAAGAGAATGAGGATGAGAACAACTTGAAATGGCTAACCCAACTTGATATCGGCTACAGCGAGAGATTGCTGCAAGCATTCCCTCTATTGTGATCATTAGTTCAGCGTACTACTATGTCACGTTTTTAACCTGTGTGTGTTTGTTGACGATGTGAACGTGTTTAATCTCAATACATTCAGACAGTTTGGTGTAAAAAGGTGAAGGCTTATTTCAGATAGATGAACAGATGTGAATGTAATTAAACAAAGCCACCGTCATCAACTGTTGCGTTTCACATTAGGTCATCCAACGTTTTCGGTGGATATGTATTTTATTGAAAACTGTGTAATTTTATATTTTCCCAAGACTGCAGTAGAGTGTGAATAAGAACACTTTTTAAAAAGAAGGAACTGGTTAAAGCATTACTATAAATGTTTGTATTTAACAGGTATACATGACACACAATATATATATATATATATATATATATATATATATATATATATATATATATATATATATATATATATATATATATATATATATATATTACTTCTTAAATCACTGAAAAAAACCCGGAAAGATCTGATGAGTAATACTCATTTAATTGATCATTTTGACTTCACAATTAAAACAAAGATATACACTTATTTGCATATTAACAGATGAATAGTGGCGTTGCTGCATTGTTTTTGTAAATGATCATAAAATATTCCATATCTAATGTTTTGATGTTCAGTATATTGTAGATGATAGGTAAGCATCTAAAGCTACTTCTGTGTAACTTGTTTATTTTGTAAATGCATTGGAATGTAAAAATTTAATAGTATTTCCATTTAGAGGTCTGAAATTTTCATAGAATAATAAGATATATATATGTATAGATTCTATAAAATATAGAAATTCTTTTTGATAAACATGTGCCAAAAAAAAAGTTTAACTTATAATCAAATTCGTATAACTTGGTTGTAAGCAATCAACTCATGTATGTGAGATACTACCTGAAGCCATTTAATTATAACTATTGTAAACTGGCTGATTTATGCAAATTAGTAATTTTTCCATTCGCGTTGTTTTCTTAAAACAAGAAGGCTCAAACTGAAATAGCTCCTAAAATTTTGCTATGTTTCCCATGAGACTTTTCAACTATGTTGGTGGATTTGAGTTCTGGATTTTGTGTTTTGTTCTCTTGCAACACTAATCACGCCTATTGAAAAACAAATGGCGCGTCTGACGCCATTATCTTGGATAACTTGGATGTTGTTTTGTAGATACACTCGCTATCGACGTATTACAAACGATTGTTTAAAAATAATGTTGGCACGTTTATATATCTCTCACCAACGAGTAATGCCACTGAGATGAGATGGCTCTATGCACTTAACAACAAATCGAACTGACATGAGTTGGCCGTTGCTACAACATTGTTCCTGCAACAAATACGTGTTCACAGTCTATCATGTTCATAAAGCTCAAGATAGTCAACGGTGTCAAGATGAGGTGTGAAAAAAACTACTGTTGATTGTGTAAGGCGAGAACTTATTAAACGTAGGTCACCAACCCAAAACACACACATGCCAGATCAAGCCATACAAATCAGTTCAGGCGGCGAATACATAAGACGAAAATAACAATGAACAATGTTTTAATAACAGCATGGGGTGTTATGATGGTTTTGCTTTAATGGTTTAATGGATTAATGATCGCACGTGCTTATCAGTTGCGTTCACGCACAGCTCCTTAGCACGGGCTAAGAGGTCAAATTCCTTAGCCCGTGCTAAGAAAACGTGCGTGAACGCTTAGCACGGGCTAAGGAATGCTAAGTACTGGTTAAATCTGATCCGAATTTAAGACGCGGTCTAGACCCTTAGCACGGGCTAACGAAGTATGCGCGAACGCTTAGCCCAGGGCTAAGCGCCCTCTGCGGCGACCTTTGGGTGTGAAATTGTCCCATGTTCGAGTCTATTTCTTCAGTCATTACTACGCGCTCGCTTCCACACTGATCGGGTCGCTGTAGTAGAGCGTACAGCAGCTCCAATTGTGGACAAAATAAATTTGGTTCGCTGTCTACGACATGCATTAATAAAACTCTGTATTCTGTTACGCCCGTTGTATACTGTTTCTGTGCATCCAAATAAGTTGGGTCCGTCTTCTCTCGCGTTCCTGTGCACGTCGCTTCAAAATTAGAACGAAACATGCCAGCAGCAGAAATAGAATCTCGCGCATATCATCCATTTTTCGTTCGTAAATAGCGGCTTACCAAAGGTCACCGTCTAATGGCACCCCTTAGCCCGTGCACAGTGGTGTTGAGGGACTGTGGCCCGTGCTAACGACTGGCCCTCCCTGTGCGTGGACGCAATTGGGTCTAGCCGAAATGCAAATATGCTAGATAAGCCTAAATCAGCTTAAATCTTAGCCCGTACTTCGTGTAACGTGAACACAACTAACAGGTCTCCAATTCACCCCACTGTGTTCTGTGTTGTCACCTAAATCACGGTTACTAAAATTGTATTACTAGTCTGAGCTAAAAGTAACCATGGAAACCTCATCTGTAGCCGATGAATTACAAAGACGCTATGAAAGAGAATTGGAAGTGGCGAATTGTCGCCTTACGACGGAGAAAATTTTAAATTACGTTTTTAACATCACCAGTTATACACGCATTTTCAGCGGCAATCCTTCCTATGGGGTATGCATTTTTTATCTTAGTTGCTGTTCCAAGGAGTTCAGGGCACACCTTCTAAATATACACGTGTAAAGTTTAACTTTACGGCGGTGACCTGAATTAATTGCGAAAAACTATTATGAATAACATTTTAAATTAGTATGTAATAGGACATTTATGGGTTTATGTGACTTGGTAGTTTTGTTTGTTACCATTATCCGCCATTTTATGGTCTCTGTTCGTTGTGGTTTGATGTAAAAGCTAATAGTTCCGTGACTATCCAATACTATACACCAAGTGTTTGCAGGTGAACGTTCGACTTAGAGTAGCGTCACAATTTGTAATAGTTTTGTAAAATTCGGGTAAGCATGAGTCGTTGACATTACTTGCCATGAACGAACTATGAACGTGGCTACTGTATTACTGACGTAATCGACTGAATCACGTGAATCCCGCAAACTGCATAACAGTTCTTAATCAGACGTGTAATATAACTATGCTAGGATGTACGTTATAACAACATTTTTATGAA